CTATAAAGACTTTGGCAAATTCTTTTGCTTCATCATGCATCTCGCCATATCTAATATGGTTTTGTTTCTTCTTTCAACAATTCCATTATGTTGAGGTGTATAAGGAACAGTTACCTCATGATAAACACCATGTTCTGCACAGAAATCTTCAAACATCTTGGATGTGTATTCGCCACCTCCATCTGTTCGCAGAACTTTGATCTTCTTCTCACTCTGGTTTTCGACAAGTATCTTGAATCTCTTAAAGTTTTCAAATACTTCGTCCTTTCATTTGATTGCATAGATCCACAGCTTTTGACTAAACTCATCGACAAGTGAAACAAAATATCTATTTCCACCAATTGTATATTCTTCAAATGGACCATATATATCTGAATGTACCACTTCGAGTATGCAAGTTGATCTCATTGGCATAGTCGAAACAAAAGAATTTTTGGATTACTTTCCTACTAAACAACCTTCACAAAGTTTTTCAGGCATCTCAAGACTTGGAATTCTAGTAACCATATATGAGTAATCACTTGATTGAGTGATCATAAATTCAAATGTCCATACCTCAAATGCCACACCCAACTGTCCTTTTGGTCAACAATAGTTTTCAAACATTAAACTTCAGTCAAACTGATCATAGTCTTAAATTTCCTGTTCTTCGACAATGGAGATTTTAAGACCAAAATATTCTTGGTGTTGAATAATTTTAAAACTCTATCTTTCAGGACAACTGAGAAACCTTTTTCGACTAGTTGTCCAACACTTAGAAAGTTTCAATTTATTCCAGGTACACAAATCACATCTTTGATCATAGCTTTCCCTCAATTACTCATTTGAAAGACTATATTTTTAGTACCTTCTGCTTGCAACAAACTATTATCAGGAAATTTTACCTTGCTCTTCTTTGACTCCTCAAAATCTGCCAACCACTTCTTTCGACCAGTCATGTGGTTCGAGCAGCCTGAGTCGAGAAACCAGATCTTGGATTTGACATGGTTATCTGCAACTGCAGCCATAACCACCATACCACCTTCAAAATCATCTAAATTTTGGCGTGCAAGGTTCGCTCCTTTGTCCTTGCCTGTCGATCTCTTGTCTTTTCTGTACCAACAATTCTTGGCTACGTGACCCCACTTTTCACAGTTATACCACTGCACACCTTTTTTATCTTCTTTTCCCTTTCGATGGTTTCCTCCTCCTCCTTTCGAGGATTCAGAAGCTCCATCTTCGACCTAATTCTTATGAGGTTTCGACCAAGACTTCTTATCCTGAGTCTTGTCGAACTTGCCTTTAAATTTGTTGGAACCACCATCCTTTTTCCATGTATGAGCTTGTAGAGCCTGTATCGAGTCTTGCACTCCTTTCCTTTCGAAAATATTAATCTTATGCGCCTCCAGCGAACCAACCAAATCTTCCACTTTAGTGGTTTTAAGATTGTTGGATTCTTGAATAGCTACGATATTGTGATCAAAGTAAGAGGTCAACATTCTCATTACCTTCTCAACTATCATCTTATCAGTTATGGTTTCACCATAACCCTTCATGAGATGGACGAGTTTTTGAACCTTCGACACATATTCTGCAACTTTTTCATCTTCTCCCATCGACAACAACTCATATTGTCAACGCAAGGTTTATAACTTGAAAACATTGAATTTCTCACCTCCTCTGTAATACCACACCAGAATATCCCATGCCTCCTTTTCCGTTTTAGCATGATAGATTCTATCGAAATTAGAAGCATCGACCGCCGTCTGAATGAAATAAGCAGCCTTGCGATATTTCTTCTTGACTTTGTTATGGGTTTTTTTTGTTCGTCGGTTGCATTTGCAGCCAAAGCAGGAGCGTCATCGGTAACCACTTCTAGGGTTTCATAGAAGCCAAACAAGGATTTCATTTGTTTTTTCCATCGGATCCAATTTTTTCTGTCAAGCATTGGAAGAGAATTCAGAATTCCCTTATCACTAGCCATCTTCGCAGCGGTTGATTCACTTGCCCTAGAAACACGATCTCTGACGTGAAATTCTTGAAAACTCGATCAAGAACAGCAACCGGAAGCTCTGGATACCAATTTCTTAGTGCGTGAGGCACTTTTAGTGAGGAGAGAATAATAAGAAAATAAGGATTTGTATTATTGAATTGTACAAATAATGATGCAGACTAGGACTATTTATATACAATCCTAATTAGACTTGAGTCTACACAACTTAGATTATATTTAAATATTAAATCTAATCAAATCAAATATAATATTTTAACAAATCTAATTTAATATTTTAACAGTGGCCAAACCCCGTGCGTTCCAAAAAATGAACTTCATGAGGTATGTTTTTCCAATTTCACTATAATATTACACTTGCAACCTCCACAAGTACATATTAATGTCAGCTCATAGTTACCCAACTCATCCCGCAAAGTCTTCTTTCTAGGCCCATTCACAACTGAAACCATGTCTTTGATGTCTTGCCACAGGTCATTCGTGTTTTCAAAATACGACATGGTTAAGCGTAGGTTGGGCTCAATCATATTCAAAATCCACGACACTGACATGGACTGAACAATCCACCAATCTTCAATTTCAGGTGAGTTATCCTTTGGTTGCTTAATGGTTCCATCAATGAAACCACATTTTCTTCTCGCCCTCGAGGACATTCGTATGGCTCGAATCCACTCGTCGTAGTTGTTACCTCATAATTGCACATGTGTAATCACACTTCCGATATTGTCACTAGAGTGTAAATTATAAGGTAATTAGTTTGGTCTTATCGAATTATCATAAGCATCGATGTACACGGGATAAGGAGTCAGTGAGTCATCATAAATGTCAAGGGCGCACAGTATGGATAGGGGGGACCCATATGTTTTTGTGAAAAAAGCTCGGCTCCTCCTATTGCTGGAAAAAAAACCTATTACCTCTATTTAATGTCGATTCGTCCATACTTCCATTTTTGAGGGAGGTTGACTGCTTGCCGGCTGGTAGTTGTATGATCGGTAACATCCATGTACGGCTCCATGAGAAGGGGGTGGGCAGAAATGGCCTTGTTGTACCTCACACTCGTCTTCAATGGTTTGGCACATGAATCATGTTTTGGTTGTTCAACTTTTTCTGCCATAACAGCCACCACATATGTTTTGCCATAGGTTCATATGTCTCTGGATACCATATGAAACAGTGAGTAGGATTTTCTATCTTTTTTATTCACAAATGACAAATCTATATATACACAATCTATTCAAATCAACTAGCTAAGATTTCTCCTACGAATTATTTATACACCACTAATACAACTAGCTATAATAAAATAAATTATTCTAGAATTAAATATACAATCAAAATTAATTAGGATCAATATAATAATCATACAATATTCTCTAAATAGTCTGCATTAATACAATCAAAATTAATTAGGATCAACATAATAATTTCAAAATATCCCCTCAATATTATGCATTATGTACCAACAAGAATATGACACTCTCTTGCCAAAGATTCAAGCAACAACATACTTGGTCTTCATCATCAACCTTGACCTAAATGCTTTCCAAATCAAGAATTACCTTATTGAAATTGTCTAAATGATCATCCAATGCCTTCCACGGCTACATCTTCATAGTGAATAACTTATACTTTAAATATGACTTGTTAGCTAAGGATTTGGTCATATACTTGTGCTCCAATTTAAGCCATAAGCTTGTTGCGATCTTTTGTGTGGAAACATCTCTAAAAACCTCATCCCCTAAAGAAATAATTCAGGTGATACGCTCCTTATCAAACATCTCCTTCTACTCATTTACTGATAACGTTTTTGGTCATTTTGCTTCACTGACTAGGGTGGCTCCCTTGTTGAACCAAGAGATCCTTTGTTTTTCAGTCTCCACGAACTGAAATTGTTCTTTCCCAAAAAATTCTAATTTTTTCATTTCAAATAATTAGTTATCGTTATATTTTTTATTGTAATTCATTACTTAGTTAAAACAAGATTATATAAATATAGCAGGTAATCTGACAATAAATTGCGTTGCTATCCATTTTTGGATGGCAAAACTAATCATTTTAAAAACTAATTTCATGGTCCTAGGCATGGGTAGATTTACAGTCCAACGAGTCTGGGCACGTGTCTGGGCTCAACCCTTCATTTCATTGTATACCCCCTATCTAATAACTGATTTTTAGACAAAATCAGGGGTAAATTAGTAATTTTAAACAAAACCAAGGGCAAAATTAGTAAAAATAGGGTGTGAAAACTAAAACAAATGAATAACCAATGACCCAGCCTAATTAGTTATTTATTAATCAAAACAAAAATTTAAAAAAAAAACCCTTTAAAACAAAACAAACTAATCATAAAAAATCTCCCTTAAAACAAAATAAACTAATCATCCTCCCTCCCCGTACACAAGTTTTAAAAAAAACCACTGTCTCTTCGTATCTCCTCCCTCCTCTCTTTGACGAGTCGCTATCGAATCATCTATGCTGAGTCTGACCGGCGACCGTCGTTGCTCTGCTCCACCGTGAGGTGAATTCTCATGCCTCCTCTCTTCTGATTTTCTGTAATTGTTAATTGTTTTTTAGGTTTTGTTTGTTGCATTTTATGTTTGTTTTGTGCGATTCTCGTTCGGACGTCTGTTTTGCGTCTGACCTAGCCCAAAAAACCCGGTTTTAGGGGAAAATGTTCTTGATTTTTTTTCGTGCATTCTGTGTAGAAAAATCGTGCAATAAATCCCAAATTCATCTTTTTCCTATTTTTTTATGAATTTTTTAATGTTTTCATAGTCTCGAAAAATTATGAAAAAAAATCCGAAATTTTTATTTTACTTAATTAGATTAAAATTCGTGATTCTGGATTTTTCAGAGTTTATTTTAATCAGATTTCTTCTTTGTGTTTGGTTTCTGCCTATTATGAACATTGTTGGTATTTTCGCATTTGTTACTACATTGGTGATTCTTTGTTTTCGCATTGCTTGTTTGATTCTGATTCTGAACTTGCTTGTTTGATTCTGTTTTAGAGATGAGGAGGTTTTTGGTTCCTAGAACAAATATTGAGAATGTGAATGTTGTGCAATCGGGAATCGAAGTAGAAGAACACCGCCTAATATAGCCAATGAGTTTAATCCAAATGAGATTGTGCGTGATCCAGGATGTAGGAAACAATTTCATGAGTATGCTCTGGATATTCAAGACCAAGTGAGAAGGGCATGTATATTGAAGGGTCCAACGCAACCAGATTTAGCAACATTTCCTCGTACTAAATTTGGGAAGTCTTCAAGAGCATTTTGTAAAGCATGTTATAAGAATTCTACATGGATTGAATATAGTGAGTCAAAGGATGCAACTTTTGGTTTCTATTTCTTTCTCTTTAAGCTTCCCGGAAGGGCCGAACACTTTGGTTATAAAGTCTTCAACAAAGATGGATTTACATATTGGAAGCATGCATCTAAATTCTTTAAAGATCATATTGGTAGTCATGATAGTAAGCACAACTCATGTATGAAGCACTATGAAGATTATAATAATCAAAGACAAAGTGTGACAAGTATCTTTGTTAGAGCAACTAGTGAATCCGAAGAATTGTATAACATTCGTTTGACTTGTTCTTTATATTGTACTAGATATCTCATAGCACAAGGCATTGCTTTCTGTAACCATGATGAAAGCTCTACTTCTCTAAACAAGGGCAATTTTAGAGAGATAGTGGATTGGATAAAATTTAATGATGAAAAAGTGAGAGATGCTTTTGGCTGTGGTCCAAATAATTGCACAATGAATTCCGGTGACATTCAAAAGGAGCTTGCAACGTGTTGTGCATATGAAGTTACCAAGGTTATTATGGTGGAACTTGGTGATAGACAATTATTTGTGCTTATTCACGAGTCACATGATATATCTGTCAAAGAGAAAATGGCGGTGATGTTGAGGTTAGTAGTTGTATTTTCCAATTTCTATTACATATTATTCTCTATGCCTCCATATAACATTATTGAAACTACTACAATTATTAACTTAAACTTGTATATTTCTAATTTCTTGAACGACAAAGGGAAGGTTGTGGAATGATTTATTTCTCTACAACATATCAAATATACTACATCTAAGACACTAAATAATGCTCTTTATGGTATTCTTGATCGTCACACGTTATCTATTTCAAGGTGTGATACGGTGGGAGAATTGACTTTGTTATTTTGCGTTTGATCGCAAATGTTGCAGTTAGCAAGAGTCGCCACCGACTTTTCTTTTATCCAAAAGGAAAGGTGAAAAAGCACAGGAAAGACCTTTGAGATTATTTCTTGAGTTCGGAGGGTAGATTATGAAAAGAGAAGGTATTAGCACCCTTTTCATCCATGGTTTTCCATGGGCTCTTAGTTACTTGCTAGATCACTTGCTTTTTGTTTGAAATTGTGCTTTGTGTGGCTTTTGAAAGTATTTTGTAAAGAGGCCATTGATTAGGCAAACTTTGTAATGATTCTCGTTCGTAAGAATGTATACAAAGTGTTTGATCTTTTGAAAATGTTTTCAAGTTTGTAAGATGTTTGAAAGTGTAGGTGTTTGTTTTGAAAAATAGCAAGGATGTTTTTGTTTGAAATTGAGAAAGTAATTAGGAGCATTCTACCTACTCAAAAGTCTTTCATGTTCATTTTCTTTTTCTTTTGACATTGTTATCTTACCATTGATTTGGAAAGTAACCCTATCTTTGGATGTAAACGGGACGGGCGTGGATCATCTTATTACCATGATTAGTAATGTTGCAAGGTATCTCAGCATTCTCTTTTAGGGACTAGGATCATTTGAAAGACAATTTAGATAGCGTCATCGAGGGACTATGATCTTATACTTTGCTTGTTTTTGCTAAGATACCTCGCATGCGTAATATGGCCATTTTGTAAAGGCAACCAAGTGGATTTACCCTAGGGGTGCTTGTGTGCAAGTGTATTGTTTTCATGCTTGATTTTGTCTTGAATTAGGATTTTCTAAGTATTGGTTTTAGTCTTTCCATACAAGCCCTAATTACTAACATGTTATATATAAAGTGATAAATTGCAGAATTTAAAGTTACTACGCTATTACAATGCTTGTGGGAGGGGGTGTACAATTTGTAAATGGGAATTGCAAGAAAATAAACCTAATTAATCTATTACAACCATATTGAATTGGTACAAGAATTGAATAAATAAATGTACAAAAATAGATAAATATGCAAGAATGTAAATGCAAAGAAAATAGATATTTGTTTGATTTTTCATGAGAAAAGGGGTTTTGATTTTAACCTAATTAGCTAGAAGAAAATAATTAATTAAAAAACAAAACCTAAATTTACTAAGAATTTTTTTTAAATAAAACCCTAAATCTATTAATTGATTAAAAAGAAATTAAGTTTATAAGAAAAGTATTTTTTTTTGGTATTTTTGTCTTGGAAATAAATTATAGTATTATAAAATATTTTTGGTCTTTTGTGTTTTAAAATAATATATTTTAATGGGTGTAAAAGAAAATAAATAAAACCAATTTTTAATTAAATTTACAAATATAATTAGTAAAATAAATAACGTATGATTAATAAAATAATTTTTTGTGTGAGAAAAATAAATAAACTGTGTCAAAATGTAAATCTATTATTTTTTTTGTATTTTTTAGTATTAGAAAAATAATTAAGAAAACAAATAAATAAATAAAAAGAAAAAGAAAATAAAACTGGGTCAGTGGTGTGTAAATGAAACGGGGGGTTAGCAAGCAAAAACAAACAAAAAAACCACAAGGCCCAAGGAGGCCCAGCGTCTGCAAAAAAAAAAAGAAATTCATAATGCAAAAATGTGAAAAAATCCAAAAGTGTACCAATGGGGCTCGAACCAGGTCCCAAAGGTTACAGGCGCCCGCTTCTACCACTGGGGTGGCTATACATCCGTTAACATAAGAAAAACAATAAATATATGATACAAAACGCACCATGATTTACACTTCATCTTCAACCTCCAGCCAGACCAACTGTAACTTGTTCATTTCTCAACCATTTGCAACAAAGTAAACATGAAACTTGTCTAAACTTTTACCACGATTCCAGAAATATAAACAACTTAAACTAATTCTCAAGAATGAACATGAATTTTGAATGGTACCAAATTCTGACCTAATTTTATCAGGATGTTCAGATTCAAAATTCTAACTACTCAAGCAATATAAATGAAATCTAAAGACATGGTTAGCTTCAGAACAATGATGTCTACATTTTTCATTCACAAATTAAACATTAATAATGCTTGTATGAAGAGTTCAAAGTTGAGATAACTTACCTCAAAACTGGAAATCGTGTTCTGCAAATGAGCACTTCTCAAGATGTTGTGATGATCAGAATAGCTCCACTGAGGTCCCGGGAAGCTAATGCAATGATTAGCTTGGTTGGAGAGTGGCTGAAATGGCCTGGAGAAGTCAAGATGCAGACTCTGTTTTTTGGTTATGGAGGTTATAGTAAATGGTGTTACAGTTGTGTAGTAAGGGTTTGGATAGCCTCTATATGAGTTATAGGATCTTTGTGATTGATTAAAAGTGAAAACGCACGAGTGGATTGTGTATTTGAAGTTCAAGGTCAGAAATGACAAGTAATGGAGGTTTTTGGTGCAAGTTCTGATTTCAAAGTGTTTGAAGGCTTAAGTATTCATGTCCTTGTGGAAAAAGGTTTGTGTATGTATAAACAAAGGAGTTTGAGAGCTTTGGACAATCAGAAGTACCAGTCTCAAGCTAATTGTTGGGTTACTTGATTTTGAAGAAAAGTGAGAAAATCGAGTTTCAAAGTTTGTACCAACAATGTAGAGTGGTTGAATCACTTTTATCACATTGCTTCTAACTTTGTAGATGAAGTGTGATCAGAGGGAACATGTGAGAGGCTCAAGAATTGACTTTGTGCAAAAAAGCCACTTTTCCAAAATGGCAATGTTGCCTTTCTTCCTAAAATGGTATTAAGCATGGGCAAGACATTAAATGCTTGGATTAAAGCTTCTAACAGCAGTGTAGACATTTAATTATGGAGTGAAATGCAAGTTAGAAGCCTGCAAAGCAGGATTTGCACAGCATGCTTGAAGATTGGATCAAGTGTTCATCACAAAAGGCCTTGTAATTCAAGTGATAAAACCCTAACTTCATCTCTTCGATTCTCCCTACTCAAAAATGATCTCAAGGAGTTATTGGACATTTTAGAAAGCTTGCAATGTTCTCTACAACCCATATTTGAATTTCTTTTGAATATTTCCCTTGGAACTATATGAAAAAGTTTCATGAAGTTGAGTCAAAATCCTGACCAAATTAGGGCAAAATTTCACTAAGTGTTTTTGTTTCATGACCATGTTTTCTTAAAATTATAACTTGAGATACAAGCACTTTAGGAAGGAGTTGTGTGAAGAAAAGTTGTATATTTCATGGATATCTACAACTTTCATGTTGGAAGTTTCTTTTGAATCAGCTTGCATCATGGTGAAAATTTTGCTCAAAGTTATGAAAAAATAAGAAATTTCCAACACAGAAAAATTTCGAAGTTTAGAAATTTTAACTTTTCAAAATGAAATCTTGAATTTTGGATTTATTGATGAATAAGTTTCATATTTTGACATGCTTTTATGAATTGTGATCTTTGACATTTGATTTTGACCAAAAAGTCAAAGTTTGACTTTTCAGTATACAGTTGACTTTTGATCAGTTGACTACAAAATTCATCTGTCAATCCATTGGACTTGCAATGATTTGAGCCATATAATTAGGTTAAAATGATGAAATTGGACTCTTGAAATCATGTCTTAAACCAATTGATCATTTGCTAGGTCAAAAATCAGAAATTGCCCATTCTCAGTCAAAACCCTAATTTTGACCATTTTGCCCTTTTGAAGATTTGATCAAATTTCTTGAGGAATTGTGGTCCAAACTTGATCAAATGATACATATGAGTTTAAAATGTTGATGTGGATCAAAATTTATGAAGTTTGACTGTAAATTGGCCATAGTTGACTTTTTCCCCAATACAGTTGATTTTTAGGTGAACTGCTCAGTTGACTGAGCAAAAGTGTGACCCAAGGCTTGAAACTTGACATGAGTAATCTTGGGGGTCCATAATGATCCATGAAAGTCATACTGGGAATTGGAAGTTCAAAAATCCTTGTGCAATCTCAAACCCTAATTTTGGTCATCAGTGCTTAAGGAGGTGTCTAGAGTTGATCAACCCTAGTGCAGTCTTGAGCCAAAGGAGATCTTGTAAGCAAAATTCTTGATAAGTGAGAGGGAAAATTTTGGGGTACAACACAAGGATATGACGTGGCTTCAAATATGATAGGTGAATTTAATGGTGTTTTACCCCCAAAATTTGTCCTCTCATGTTTTCCAAGGTCTTCCCCTACATGGTTGGTCACGAACCCTTGCCTAAGAAAAAGGAAAATTTGTGAGTAGTGTTTTCAAGTTCCCTTTGATTGGCATCTCCAACAGGATCCTTCAATTGGCATTTCAGTAAAGCCTTTCGATTGACCTTGCAACAGGATCCTTCGATTGGCATTCCTAAAGGTTCCTTCGATTGGAGCATCAGAGCTTCCTTCAATTTGGAGCATCAGAGCTTCCTTCGATTGGAGCATCAGAGCTTCTTTTGGTTGGAGCATCAGAGCTTCCTTCGATTTAGAGCATTAGAGATTCCTTCGATTGAAGCATCAGAGCTTCCTTCGATTTGGAGCATCAGAGCTTCCTACGATTGGATCATATGAACAAAGTGTCCTTCAATTGGCATACTAAGGCAGAGGGGAGTTCTAAACACTTCAGATCAGAACCCAGAACCATTCTAATGAACTGAATCAGACCAATTCTAAGAAAATGAATCAGAGTCATTCGAAGGAGCTGAATCAGGGTCATTCGAAGGAGGCCATCAACCCATTCGAAAGAGAGCATTCGAAAGCCAGTATGTCCACATTTCTGCCAAATTCAAAAATGGACAAAATCGCTTAACTTTGGCAAAGGTTACATATTGGTATTCATGGCATTCAAATGGCTGTTACAAACATTACTTCTCTTGTCCCCTCCCTCCTACTCTATAT